CGCAGCTCCACCCGCCAAAGTGCTGCGAAACAAAGGTAAGAGCGGCTCAAGTGACCGCCTCGGGTTACAGCTCGACTTCAGAAAGGCCCGGCTCCGGTGCTGTCAAAGGTTTTCGGTTACTCTCAATTCCCATAGAGGTGGGAATGTCACTGCTGAATCCTCACTCTCACTGGGCTTGAGATACGACCTCTGTGACACACTCGTATAGTCTCTGCCACTATAAAGCAGCATGGGCTTTTCACCACTGCAGCCGTCTGGAGTCCCGTTCTCTTGTTCAAGGGTCAGTGGCTGTGGGACAGTGCTAAGGTAACACCTGAGATGAGGACATGCTTAGAGGCCAGAGTCCAAATGGAACAGGGTTTCTAATAACAGGCAAGGTCAACCACAGCGTTACAGGAGAGCTTATCAGCGCTGTAGATATTTGAGTAACACTGGAAGAGGAGCTCTTCCCCACAGGATGCGGATGAAATGATATATCATAAATGCTGCTTGACATGATATGATGTTTAACATGATATAAAAGTATGTTATTTTTAATTATGACATGGCTGAGTGATTGGTCAATCGCAGCATTCTAACATCAAATATTTTTGTATAATGACTGCTAAACTGTATTATTGACCATCGTCCCCCATGTATTGTTCACTATAAAAAGTAATTCAGGGGACCTGTTGTAACCGGTCCTGCTCGATTTGAACCAGCGACGGGCGCGCTAACAAGGATACTGAAGACACAGTTTTCAGTTAGCGTCAGTCGCTAGTGCGCCTCTTGAGATCAGGGGAGTTTACACCCTTCGTTTCAGTCACCTCCCCAAAACCTCACTCCCATCTAAGTCACGGTGACGGCACCAAATGTATCCGGTCCTACTCAACACGCTCCTAGCGGGATTAAGTAGGACCATGGGAGACAGGCGGACTAACAAAGAGGCTAGAGCACCTCTTGAGTCCAGGGGAGTGAGGTTTACATGCACAAATCTCAGTTTGCCGCCTTTACGTTTCCTCAAAAATTGTAATTCATTGATTTCATTTCACGTTTTAGTTGCAAATTATTTTGTTTACTTCTGTGGATATAATTATTTAAAATTGTGTGTAATTTCATTTGAAGTTGTCATTACTCAAAAAGATTGATGCAAACTGTTGCATTTTTTTTTTGGAGCCAACACATCATTTTTTAGAGAGTTGTTATTGTTAAAACTAGCTATTAAAATTGCTGAAAAACTTAACCTTAAAAAAATCTGAAATGTTACTTTGGCAGCTAACTGAAATACATTTGTTTAAATTAAAGTACTAGAAAGACAAAAGCACACAACAAAATGTAACCAAAAACTTAAACTACAAGTAAAATGAAAACCAAAAAATATAAAAAGCTTATTCAAAATATTGATAAATACTATATATAAATAATACTAAATTCACTTTTTCCAGTTTCATAAACATCACTGTGATCTCTTTCTTCTGATATAATAAAATCAATATTTCATGTCTAATTATTTATTTTTTGATAGGAAGCTGGATCTTCCGACCATTATTGCAAAATAAACCCTGACAGTTTATTGTATTTTTAATATGTTTGCAATTATATATAATATGTTGTTTATTGTGTTCAAATATTCCTTTCTGACTTTTAAGCTGACTAGCCTAATCTCTTGTAACTTTTTTTCCCACATCATGTGTCATATCAGATTATTATTTTAATAAGATAATGCACAATTATTTGTAATCGCATTCTAATCATCAAAATATTTATCTGAAGATTAATTTTGATTATTTGATAATCATGTTAATTAGATAATTTGCATAATTGTAAAGTTGGAAATTATGCTTCTTTGGCATTTTATTTTAATTAGTTTGTCAGAAAATTACTACAAATTTAGTTGTTAGTACAAAGTTGTGTTGTTATAAAATTGTAAAATACCATATTAATATATCAATAATTAAAGGTTTTGATTTCAGTACATTAATTGCTATCAGTCATATACACTCACCTAAAGGTATATTAGGAACACCTGTTCAATTTCTCATTAATGCAATTATCTAATCAACCAATCACATGGCAGTTGCTTCAATGCATTTAGGGGTGTGGTCCTGGTCAAGACAATCTCCTGAACTCCAAACTGAATGTCAGAATGGGAAAGAAAGGTGATTTAAGCAATTGTGAGCGTGGCATGGTTGTTGGTGCCAGACGGGCCGGTCTGAGTATTTCACAATCTGCTCAGTTACTGGGATTTTCACGCACAACCATTTCTAGGGTTTACAAAGAATGGTGTGAAAAGGGAAAAACATCCAGTATGCGGCAGTCCTGTGGGCGAAAATGCCTTGTTGATGCTAGAGGTCAGAGGAGAATGGGCCGACTGATTCAAGCTGATAGAAGAGCAACTTTGACTGAAATAACCACTCGTTACAACCGAGGTATGCAGCAAAGCATTTGTGAAGCCACAACACGCACAACCATGAGGCGGATGGGCTACAACAGCAGAAGACCCCACCGGGTACCACTCATCTCCACTACAAATAGAAAAAAGAGGCTACAATTTGCAAGAGCTCACCAAAATTGGACAGTTGAAGACTGGAAAAATGTTGCCTGGTCTGATGAGTCTCGATTTCTGTTGAGACATTCAGATGGTAGAGTCAGAATTTGGCGTAAACAGAATGAGAACATGGATCCATCATGCCTTGTTACCACTGTGCAGGCTGGTGGTGGTGGTGTAATGGTGTGGGGGAGGTTTTCTTGGCACACTTTAGGCCCCTTAGTGCCAATTGGACATCGTTTAAATGCCACGGCCTACCTGAGCATTGTTTCTGACCATGTCCATCCCTTTATGGCCACCATGTACCCATCCTCTGATGGCTACTTCCAGCAGGATAATGCACCATGTCACAAAGCTCGAATCATTTCAAATTGGTTTCTTGAACATGACAATGAGTTCACTGTACTAAAATGGCCCCCACAGTCACCAGATCTCAACCCAATAGAGCATATTTGGGATGTGGTGGAACGGGAGCTTCGTGCCCTGGATGTGCATCCCACAAATCTCCATCAACTGCAAGATGCTATCCTATCAAAATGGGCCAACATTTCTAAAGAATTCTTTCAGCACCTTGTTGAATCAATGCCACATAGAATTAAGGCAGTTCTGAAGGCGAAAGGGAGTCAAACACAGTATTAGTATGGTGTTCCTAATAATCCTTTAGGTGAGTGTATGTGTCCTTTAGGCAAAATGTCATTATAAAGAAAACGCGTCAGAGGAGTGACATTAACGAATATTGGGTCAAATGAACTATTGGGATCTGTGTGAAGATCCGGAAGCATCAGACCAAACACAAGGCATGAGAGAATCTCCTCCTTCAGTCCTGTGCTTCATCTCACCTGCACACAGCCATGCCTCATCCTCTATTCTCGTCTTAACCCGATCATTTCAATCAGCCAATTAAGCAGCATCTTAAGGAGCTGTTGGAAAAGACGGTCAGGGTCAAGGCTGACGTGATAATCTCACCATGAGAAGAATGACTGCTGAACTATGGGGACAAGACATCCCAGAGACTGGGTCACCTGACCTCAGCCATGCAGTGCAAGAGTAGAGGACAGCATATGGATTTACTCAATATTACACTGTAAAATATTATATGAGACAGCATATCGATTGCTTTAACTCATCAAAATATTTTAAATAAGTTATACAAGACAACTCCTTTTTTAAAAATCAGTTTAATGTAATTCAAGTTGAAATGACTTAAACATCCACATTGATTGTACTTAGAAATTTAAGGCAGCAACTTTTTGGCTTTAAACGTTGTCAAAAATAAGGAGGACGAATAATAATGTCTTAAGCTTTGTTGATTAAAGCAAAGTATAAAGTAGAGAGGAGGTCTGAAATAGTCTATAATATAGTAGCTACGTTTTCCCAAACATGACTGACCTACAATCCGGAAATCCCATGTGGTTTCCATCAGGAATTTCCTATGGGGTTTTAGAATGCCTTTAACAAAAAGAAGTGCACTTTATTGAATTAAACCTGCACTTGTAGTGTACTTTAAAAACTACTGGCAGGATAATAATAATGAAATAAAAGGTCACTTTAAAGAGAGTGCACTTTCACGACAATGTTTCTTAACTGACTTAAGTACACTTTTAAAAAGTGCAATTTGTAATAATGTCAAAATAAAAGTTTTATTTCAAAGTAGGCCTACGTTTTAAATGATAATGTTTAAATAATCTTTTGTCATGCTTCGAAGAAGTACACTTATTTTGATGTATATTGACTATAATTTATATAAGTAATCAAAATAAGTAAGCATATGTAAAGTACTATTATAAGTTGTTATAACCGTAGTGTGTTATGTTATTCCATACAGTTATTAAATTGCAACTTCATTATTGACATGATGGGGTACACATTTTAATAAAAATGACATTAAAGTAGGCTATATTTTATTTTACCATAGGCCTAAATGCTTGTCAGTACTGTATGACAATACACTTCAATAGAAGTAATTATGAAATTACATAAAGATGTACTTTAAACTTAGAGTAGGCTACTTGAGTGGGTCAAAATAATACGTCCAGCCAGGTCGCACTTATAGGCTTTTTTTCTTTTAAAGTATTATTACCGTTATAAGTAACGTTACTTTAGTATGCTTCTTGCAGGTCTGTAAACATATTTGAATAGACTTTCACACTTTGTTCTACGATTAAGGTTAGGGTTAAGGTTTTAAATTCAGCATACATTAATAAAGATACAAAAAAAATTAAAGTTGTTAACGTTAATGAGTAAACACGTTTTGTTTTTCAAATAACTTTTAAGATATTTTTCGCGAAATCATGTTTACATGCTTGAAAAAACGAAACACTCATTGGCTGACCAATGGAGGCGTGAGTATGACGTCAACAAGCGTAACAAACAAGAGGATGCAAAATGAGAGATGGCCAACACCACCCAGGGTTCGCAATTACAGGAAGTCCTGATTTGATTTCTCCTTGAAAAAAACACTTAAGTGGTTGTAGCATTACATTTGAGTTGTTTTTGTCTTACAAGGTACATGTATTGTTGTCATGCGTTCAGTGAGTCGGTTATTCATATCTCGCAGTTTCAGGATGCTGGAGAGATCTCCTGCGTTCATCATCTCTGTGAGGCTCTTGGGCAATCATGGCGGCGATGACATCAGTGCGGAGTTCTCTGAAAACACTGAGGCGTCTGGTGAGTTTAGAAACAGTGATTTCATTAAACTAATATAACTCACCGTGTTAGAGTTTCCTTGTCAAATCACTTTCAGCGAACACGCACAAATTGAAAATATAATGAATAGCGGAAATGTCCTGTCCTCTGCTATAGTCAGTGTATATTCATTAAAGTCGCCATGAAATCAAAATAGGCATTTCTTATTTATACTTTTTTTATTGGATATTGCAGTATTAATTATTAATAGGTTTTCCATGCACATTTTAATTTATATGCCCTCATAATCTTTAATTAAAAAACTTCTCTGATGAGTGATGATGGATCACAGCAATAGCAAACAAACCACAACAATGCAATGATCCAATCAATTCCCATTGAACAAAATCAAGTCCCGGCCTACATTTTTTCTTGTTGGAGAAGACATTTCGCTTGGATATATGTCACAATAGGGAACAAAAGACTATTGCAACTTTGTTTCATGTCGACTTTAAAGACTGCATACTAGTATTCAACCAAAACAGACCCAGGGTCATGAATTTCATTAAACGTCATGCAATTTTACATTGCCATATATTTTCACTGATCCCTGGTGTAAAACTTGCTTAGTGTATTAGTTAATGCATTTGCAGAAATGCTGCTGCGTTTAATTCACCCACTAATCCCAGTCTGTCTCAGATAACTTGGTTTAAGTGGAAACTTATTTCTGGGCTAGTAAACCTACCTTTTAGCATCCTGAGCAAAAAATAAAAAGTTGAATGATCTTGCCTATGTACATCAAATCCCTAGGTTGTATCCCATCGCCTCCAGCAGTGTCCCAGGCTCCAGGCCTTTGGACCGGCCCATGTAGTTCAGATCTCCACACCACTCACTTCAATTCAATGGAGAGGCTTCAGATCCAGCCATGGTATGTGTCGGAAAGATGAAATTCCCACATATGTTCAAAAAGGCTTATTGTACAACATATTAACAAGCCGTGATATTTCTGTTTATGTCATTGCTGTGGTAATAAACTAGATTGTTGCAGTGTACTTTTGTTTATACTTTCAGTGACCTCTGGACAGGTGCTGCAGTTCAAACTCTCAGATATTGGAGAGGGCATTATGGAAGTGACAATAAAAGAGTGGTATGTTGATGTGTTTGAATTTAGTATTGTAAACATGCTTAAATAGATCTTAATCTGAGCCTTGAGTGTTGTCCCTAACAGAAGACTTGCTTTAGTGACTATAGGCTATAGAATTTTAGACTATAGGATCATCTGAGGTGTTTAAGACAAGGGTTCTCAAATACTTTTGTCAGATTTTAAAGGTGTTGTATGTAAAAAAATAAATAAAAATTGACTGTACTAAAGCATGAAAAAACATGTTAGCACATATTTAGGAAACATACTAAGTTCACATACTCGTTTCTCAGCTTACGTCTCGCAATCCTGACTTTATATCTCACAATTCTGTCTTTATAACACGCAATTGTGTGACTTTATATCTCACAATTCTGTCTTTATAACACGCAATTGTGTGACTTTATATCTCACAATTCTGACTATAACGCGATTGTGACTATCTCACAATTCTGTCTTTATAACACACAATTGTGTGACTTTATATCTCACAATTCTGTCTTTATAACACGCAATTGTGTGACTTTATATCTCACAATTCTGTCTTTATAACACGCAATTGTGTGACTTTATATCTCACAATTCTGTCTTTATAACACGCAATTGTGTGACTTTATATCTCACAATTCTGACTATAACGCGATTGTGACTATATCTCACAATTCTGTCTTTATAACACACAATTGTGTGACTTTATATCTCACAATTCTGTCTTTATAACACGCAATTGTGTGACTTTATATCTCACAATTCTGACTATAACGCGATTGTGACTATATCTCACAATTCTGACTTTATAACACGCAATTGTGTGACTTTATATCTCACAATTCTGTCTTTATAACACGCAATTGTGTGACTTTATATCCCGCAATTCTGACTTAATAACTTGCAGTTGTGGGTTTATATCACGCAATTCTGAGACAAAAAGTCAGAATGGCGAGATGTAAACTCGCAATTGGGAGGAAAAGTCGTAATTGTGAGATAAAAAGTCGTAATTACCTTTTTTTTTAATTTTTTAATTTTAATTTTTTTTTATTCAGTGGCAGAAACAAGCTTCCAAAGTTACGGCCTAAACATTAGTGGTGCAAAAGAGAAATCGGCAAATAGCAAAACGTGTTTATTTTGCGGATTAACCCATTCTAAATAATAAATAAAGGTGAATATTCCAAGCGAATTTATGCTGTATGCAGGTATGTCAAGGAAGGGGACAGTGTCTCCCAGTTTGACAGCATTTGTGAGGTCCAGAGTGACAAAGCATCTGTCACTATCACAAGCCGTTATGATGGCGTCATCCGCAAGCTGTACTATGATGTAGATGCTATCGCACATGTTGGTTCACCTCTTGTAGACATTGAAACGGACAAAGCGCTGGGTCAGTCACTGCTGTGGATCGTATTTTTAATATTCACTTTGAACTTGAAAATGTCCTTCCAGCTCTGCCATTGTGCACTAATGCTGTTTGTCCTGCAGAGGGCGACCCCGAGGAAGATGTGGTAGAGACTCCAGCAATATCCTATAACCAATCACATGAAAAAACCCAGGCGACACCAGCGGTGCGCCGTCTGGCCATGGAGAACAATGTAATTGTGCATGGCATCAGACTGTAACCCCCCTATCATTGTGGCTCTGTATAATTCCTGATCTCTAAATCTGTCCTCTACCAGATTAAACTAAGTGAGGTGGTCGGGACTGGAAAAGATGGCCGTATTTTAAAAGAGGACATTATCAGTTTCTTGGCCAAGCAGACAGGAGCCATCCTCCCTTATGAGGTCCAGAAGATCCCAACACCTGTGATTTCCACTGCTGATACCCCTCCCAAAGAGGAGACGCCCATCATGGCACCTCCGGCGATCCCGCGACACATCTTCTCCGGCAAAGACAGGACAGAGCCTCTGAACGGTGAGTTTGAGTGTGTTCCATGTTCTTGGATGTCGGTCAATGATATTCAAAAATATATTGGTAACACTTAGGGGTGGGAGAAAAAAATCGATCCATCGATGCATCGCGATTCTCTCTCCAACGATTCTGGATCGATTCTGAGCTTAGTTTTTAACCAGATGTGCGATGACGTTGAGTTGACTTTAGAAACACCCGTATTCTGGTTGCTTCCAATTCCTCACACACATACACCACTCGAACCTTCCGTAAAATAATCTTTCATAAAGTTCGGAAAGGTTGAAGCGAATTACAAGGACATTCACAGGCTTCATTGCACAGGATGCTGTGAGAGACGCGCGCTTTCTTTGATGTTACACTTGAAGTGTGCTGTCTCGCCCGTCGGTATTTTCCTTACAAATGCTCTACGAAGTCATCATTTATGTGGTTTGGAATGCAGTGGACTTATATATTTAAAATATGAACCTCACCAACAGAAGGCTGCTTTCAATTTCAAATGCTGACGCGCGCTTTGTTTGTGAGACTGCTCGCGCATGCGGCTGTGCGACTCCGCGACTCCGTGTAGTGGTTTAATGTACTTGTGCAAAATTAACGTAAACACAGCCAGTTATGTCTTAAGGGATTAAACCAATAGCGTCTGGCTGCAGACAAGTGACGTCACTTGCACTCTCAGACTTGCACGCTCAGACACGAGCGCTTCCTCTGCAAGTGACGTCACTTGCACTCTCAGACACGAGCGCTTCCTCTGCAAGTGACGTCACTTGCAATCGACGCCTGATCTCTACGGAACGCGATCGTAATAGTCTTTAAACGAAACGCGTGAAATTTGACCGCGTCAACACGAAGTGTTTGTCCGCGGCAATTTTTTACGTGTTTCTTTTGAACGCGTAGACACGCTCATTTTGGTCGTGTTAAGGTGTCATTTGTCATTTTGTTGACAGTTTTTTTCAAATTGCTAAAACACTACAAGTGGAATTTGAGGCTCACTCAGTGAAACCATTCACTCATGTACCCAATCTTTAGACCAAGCCTGCAAAAATACAAGGACATTATATGCTTTGCTTGCACTCAGTTTGCATTTGAAAAACAAACTATTTGCAAAACTCTAAACACATTTCTCTACATTACACACATCATTCAAAACTAACAGCTCTTGTGTTTCATTTGGGAAACACTGGCGTTTAAATGCCACATTAATTTACTGATGACCTACAGCCAATAATCATGTGGGAAAACACTTGTACATAAATTGATCACTTAGAAATCAAAACTCAGTTTTGAGAAAGAAAGAAATTATTTTTACTATTATTATATATTTAATTATTTTCAAGACATTTTGGACAATTTCATGCTCCTAACTTTGTGGGAACAGTTTGTAGATGTAAAACATCAAGATGATGCATTTTTTTTCTTTTTATTGTAAATGTCAATTTACAGTTATTACACACAGTTAATGTGCAAAACAGACAAATACAAGGTAGAAATAGACAATATACAACATATATAAAAACACATTAGCACATTATTCACTTTGCTCTAGTGTAGTTCGACAGTTTACCTTTAATTTCATGACATCGACTACATGTTCAAGAAACATTTGCATGTCATTCATTACAGTAAAGATGAAGCAAAAGGGTTCCAGAGCATCGATTCTGTCCTGTGGAAACTCAGCCTTCTCTAATCTCTCAATGGCTTCCGCAACGTCTTGTTCCTCCATACACTCTACTTTGGGCAAATGAACAGAACCATACAGTGCACTAGATTGATCCAAACACCACTTGCTGGCTATCTTCAAATCTGGCATCAATCGACTCTGTGAAATAACACGGAGAACAAGGGATTGCAAGTGACGCCACAGCCGGTAGCGGAGAGCAGGTGTCGACTGCAAGTGACGTCACTTGCAGCGGAAGCGCTCGTGTCTGAGCGTGCAAGTCTGAGAGTGCAGGTCTGCAGCCAGACCCTTCTCGATTAAACGGACAGGACACACCGCATTACTTCTTTTATTTCAAAAGAGATGCGTGCGTGAATGCAGCTTAATAGATCTCCCGCAGTCTATGATGTCATAGTAAAAAACAACAGTAAAGATGAAGAAAAATCACTCACAGTTCTTGAATGGAAAACGTTCAGATCATCAATAGGCTACTGAAAGCACTTTTTGTTTGTTGTTTTTTATATTTTTCTATGCTCCTCTTTATTATTTGTTATATTAGTTATATTAGTTTAACATTCTTAACATACAACTGTTTTAATAAAAACAAATTAATTTGTAATTATTTTTTAAAAAGTACTTAATTACTTATGTAAACTAATGAATTAATAATTTGGAAGGTAGATAAAGAATCGTTCTGGAATCGGATCGTGACTCCCAGAATCGGAATCGGATCGGATCGTGAGGTGACCAAAGATTCCCACCCCTAGTAACACTTTTCAATAAGGTTCGTTAGTTAACATTAGTTGACCACATTAGTTAGCATGAACTAATAATGAACTGCACTTATAAAGAATTGAATAATCTTTGTTAATGTTAATTTCAAAAATCTTCAATAAAATCTTGTTAACGTTAGTTAATGCATTGTGAACTAACATGAATAAACAAACAGCAGCTGTATTTTTTATTGACTAATATAGATTAACAAAGATTAACAAATACAGTAACAAATGTATTGATCATGGTTATTTCATGTTAGTTAATGCATTAACTAATGTTAACTACAATATATTATAAATGCAAATTCATGGTTACAATGACTTGAACACACCTGTTCTGTTTTTTTAAATATATATATATATATATATATATATATTCTTTGTATATATATATATATATATATATATATATATAATAATAATATCGGGCACCATAAAGTTGTAAATAAAAAAATAACCTTAAGTTCATTCTTATTTCTTAAATGTCATGTGGTGTAACTTCCCAAAAATGTAATATTTATTAAAGGGATAGTTCACTTAAAAATGAAAATTCTGTCATAATTTACTCGCCCTCAAGTTGTTTAAAAAAATATCTTCCTTTGTGTTCAGAAGAAAGACATTCATACAGGTTTGAAACAACTTGAGTAAATGACAGAATTTTCATTTTTACGTGAACTATTCCTTTAATTAACAATTCATGATATGTGTAAACAAACTTTTTACCTTGAAAAATATAGTAAGCAACTTCGAAAATGATTATTAAAATGTGTACACTACACTTACATATATTTGATATATGAAAAATATATTACTTTTTACCTGTTGGTTACACCACATGACATTTTCAGAGTCATTCAATTAAATCTTTTCTTGAAAAGGGCATAAAAGTTTTTTATAACCATATGAAACCAACATACCTGAAAAACTTACCTTTTTAAAAGCCCTTTCACAGCAAGAATGATAAAGATAACTATGACTATAGTACCTATATTGTTTTTAATAAGCGCATTGCTGTTATGTCGTCTGCCGATTTAAATGCCTGAGATCTTTGCAGGGATTTTGATTGGCTTTCAATGTTTTTATTGTTCATCCACCAGGAAAAAAAAAGTGACAATATCGTTCCTCTGTACCATTATAGTTGTGCTGTGGACTTCCCTATTCTTATAGAATTAGAACTATATAGTCGCAGGTGTAAACTGACCTTAAGTTAAGGTTTAAGACCTTAAACCATATTGCCATTTCTTTATCATGGATGATGTTATTTGTCATTGACTTGCATGTTTGGCTTCTAATGGTGATAAACACAGGTTTCCAGAAGGCCATGGTGAAGACCATGATCGCTGCTCTGAGAACTCCTCACTTCGGTTACTGTGATGAGGTGGACCTGACGCAGCTAGTGCGCTTGCGCTCGGAGCTGAAGGACCGGCCCGAGTCTCGGGGTGTCAAACTCAGCTACATGCCTTTCTTCATCAAGGTGCTCTGCTGTTACACTTGGTGTTACACCAACCACCTGTTTCTGTTTGTACACATTAAAAATAATTCTACATCACGCTATAAGATTTTTAAATATTCATTTAAATATCCATTTTTTTGTAGGTAAACTCTGAAATATAAAAAATAATCAGTAATCATGAATGGCGGGAAAAGTCGTTGATCAGATTGTGGATGATCACTTCTCTAATGGCTTTTTGCTATGTGAATATTAAAGGCACACTATGTAATTTTTCGCCACTAGAGGTCGTTTATTCAAAAACAAAAGCGTAGCTTGATGACGCCTTGATTTCGTGGAATCGTGGGAGTTGTTGTCTTCACCTCTACAGCCGGTGGAGAATACGACGGGACTCGGGCAGAAATCATATTCATGGATGATCGGTTATGTATTAAAGATTTATTAGCGTTATGAAAGCCGCTGGAGCGGAACGAGGCGCTGGAGCGATTGCTAATGAGAGACGAGCGCGACACACGGCTCGAGAGCAGTGGAGCTTTTATTATACCCGCTTCTACCGGTTATGTGTATGTGGGGTTACGCAGCGCTGTTTTATCATATTACAGTGTGATGAAAGGTGTTATAATGCTACTCTGTGCGTTCGCTCGGCGGCTACTATAGGGAATGTGGAGATGACGTCACGCCGTGTTGCATTATGGGTCCGCCGCCATATTTACAGGATTGCGCCCAATACCGCTGTATTTAAATGCATGTGTTGGAGGCTGTGTTTGGATTTTCTGTCGAGATTTTAATAAACGTTATATGGTTTATTATATGGTTGTTCAGTTCAACTGCCATAGCAGGTCACACGATCGTTCAGGGAGGAAACTGAACAACGGAATACGTTTTTTCACCTTTCTTTCTTGGAAAAAACAACAAGGGAAGCAGGTCGAGGAGCTGACGAGAAGACGCCGGATCGCGTGGGGTGCCGCAATCATGTGGAAAAACTTGACTTACTGTCCTCCACTGCATACTACGTTTGTTAAAAGTTGTACAAAGCAAGAGGTTGTGTATTGTATATTCCTCGATGACTAACAGTTAGGAGGATAGTTGATGAATGATGTTGAATTTGTGGTTCATGTTAGCAGATGATAAAGCCAGGACACATTGCATAAATCAAATTATATTTATTTTGTTTTCAATTAACAATTTGCTTTGATATTCTGTAGATCTTTTTACATGGCTTTTTTAAAATGTTTGTGAATCATGTTTTTATATAACTGCTTAATAAATACATTAAGTGACATCTCTGTTTCTGTACTGATTGCATCCAACAAAGACCCTTTAAGTACACATAAATGAGCAAAGATACATCAAACTATTTTAAAATAAATGACCAAATACCCTCATTTTAACACGTGTCAACATTGAATGATGACAATAAGGCACAGTTGTATTTAACAAGTTACCACATCTTGTGGCATTATAAAGTAATGTAAATTTCTTGCACAACCTATGAAAACTTAACATATGCTGAAAATAGCAAGCTAACAAACTATGAGAGCTGCTTTTCAGGTAAAATAGCTTGAACTTTATGTACAATAGTAATCAACTTAGCATAGGCTTTGAACACCAAAACTAAATCAGATGTATCAACGTTGTTTATCGCGGATAGTTTGTCCAAATAACGTTTTTTGGCAGTGGCATTTAGTTTATCCCGGTAGGGTCCCTTGTCTTTTTCTTTAAACATCTCCATTTCTTCCGTTCTTCTTCAATTTTACCTCGTTTTAGCCAAACACCCACTATTATACCGAAGGTAAACAGAGATCGTGCCTGTAAAGATGGCGCCCACGTCCCATAATGCAACACGGCGTGACGTACCTCCGCATTCCCTATATGAGACACCTGTTACACACTGCGGTGAGCTAGATCGATATTAGACATGGTAAATATGGTTCTCGCGGTAAATCAGGAAAACGAGATTTAAACAAAAAGACTAAAACTGTGTTGAGCTGTGTAACAATGATTCGTTTTCTGTCGATGAATGTATCCAATCAGTTGCTCACCTGTCTAATAAAACACATAATATATTAAAGCGTCTTTGGTGTTTCCATGGTTTCTACAAAATAAAAATGGAGGGTATGATGTCATGGATAGGCGACGCACGGACACGGTCCGTGTCCTGGTTAAAACTGCTTATTTTTCTGGATTTAAACATTCTTAGAAACATGTTGTGATAATGTAAGTACACAAATCAACAAAATATATAACATTGTTCTAGTGGTTTTTGGATATTTTGATCCAAAAATCGTACACAGTGTGCCTTTAACTCCAGGTGTTTGGGGTCAGATTATAATTCTAGATTGTCTTTATACTGTTTTGTTCAGGCTGCATCACTAGGGCTCTTGCAGTTTCCCGTTCTCAATGCCTCTGTGGATGAAGACTGCCAAAACATCACATTCAAGGCAAGATAAACCACAAAACACTCCAATTACATCACAGCTTTTCTTTTTGAGGCTCATGGTACGCTGAAATGTCCTAAACAGCACTATTTGAATAACAGTTTCATTGGTTTTTATCTGTGTTCTCTCAGGCGTCTCATAACATCGGTCTGGCAATGGACACTGCTCAGGGCCTCCTGGTGCCCAATGTGAAGAGCGTTCAGGCCCTCAGTGTTTTTGACATTGCCGTGGAGCTCAAGCGTCTGCAGGCTCTGGGTTCAGCTGGACAGCTGGGCACCGCTGACCTCACTGGAGGAACTTTCACCCTCTCCAACATTGGCTCGGTGAGGCGCCGTCCACCTGACTTCAGACTTCCGAAATAGGTCAAGTGTGTATTTTCTGCATCCCCCAATGGAATCGTCTAAGCGGTTTCCCAACAATCCTCGTCTTCCATGTCTCAGACAAACAGGTAGCCTTGTCCCAAACTCGCGTCATTTGTAGTGCTGGTTTGAAAGGATTGATTTATCCATTTCAATCGATTCTGATTTTGATGAACCGATATCGATTCTTAAAGGGATAGTTCACCCAAAAAAGTTCACCCTCAAGTTGTTTCAAACCTGTATGAATTTCTTTCTTCTGCTGAACACAAATGAAGATATTTTAAAGAATGTTGGTAACCAAACAGTTGATTGACTCCCATAGTATTTTTTTTCCCATACTATGGAAGTCAATGGGGTCAATCAACTGTTTAGTTACCAACATTCTTAAAAAATATCTTCTTTTGTGTTCAGCAGAGCAAGTAAACTTATACAGGTTGGTAAGTGAACTATTCATCTCTTCCTCTTTACTACTAGTTACAGCACAAAATAAACACAAATGAACATCAGAAGGTATGTTAAAAGAAACAGAACAACTTACTGAAATGTACAGAAAGACGTCAGTAAAACAGCTTGTAAACAATGTCACTTAAAGGTGAACTAAGTAACTTTTTTACCTTAACCGAACAGCTTTGGAGTCATTGTAATGTTTATATTACTGATTTCGTGTTGAATGGTGGTCGTCTCGCACCCCCCTGGTGCCTGTGAGCCGCAAAACCACCCTTGCAACTTTGGGCCGGCGAGCCAGTGTTAGGAAGTATCGTGTGATATCAGGTCTCGCGAGGTAACGAATTGCTTTACGGCAAAAAACAGATCTGATCAAATTCTGATAAAATGAGCATCAAACAGAAATAACCCGGCGCCGTATACATGTGCTGTTGGGCGCGCGCAGCTCTTAAAGGGGCCATACCTTATTTCCACTCGTTACAGCGTCCATCCTACTGAACAGGTACCGGTGTACAGGGGGAGGGGATCCGGCCATGAGTGCGAGCCATCTCTGCGTGAGTGCTATTCACGACAGTACAAGTACTCCACAGCGACTCTAGGGGTCGCTGTTTGACAAAAACGGAATTCCTACCTCAGGAAACCCTTTCAATGACCATTAACTTGATAGTTTGCAAGAAAAATGAACACTGTGGAGAAAAGCATTTTTACTAACTGTATCCACTATTTACATTTTAATTTTATGCTTACTCAACTCGTTCTTCAATAGTTCATGTATGTTCGAGTAAATTCATCCTGATTTTTTTTTAATGATAGTTACTGCCTAAATGCACAACCTTATGTGCAATTTAAACGTTCTAACCTTTATTATAGTAATGTACCAATTGAAAGGATTCACTGTACAGTTTACAGCTTTAGAGATTTATTTAATTTTTCCTTGAGGAAAATTGACATGTTCCTGATCTGATAGAATTGAAACCAATCGCAAGCTTGTGAATTTGTGTCAATGCTCAGCCCGAATCATTCGTCCACGAGTGATATATAAATTACACACTGTACTTGGTCTTAAACAGTGTGTTACCCTATTTGGGCCTCGACTGCAGCCGCCCCGAATGTTGGGCCTCATGATCGTTATCCTGTCCTGTTTGGAGGATATATATAAGGGTCTGGAAGGTCCAAGCGCTTCTTTTATGGGTTAGCAGCCCTCAAACAACAGCAGGCTTTCAATGTGCTTCTATTTGCTATCTGGCGATAATCTGATCTCTCATCATAAAATAGTTAAAAAAGTATTTTTTTTTCATTTAGATTGGAGGGACATATGCCAAGCCTGTGATTCTGCCCCCGGAGGTGGCCATCGGAGCTTTGGGAAAGATCCAGGTGAGCTGCTTGTTTTCTTCACTCTTTAATAAAAAAGATGATTGTTGAATCATTGGAGCTACAGTAAATAATAGTGATTTTTGCTGCTTTGCTTTTGTATATTCTACTGTCATTATAATAAATAATCCACACATGCCGATATTTTGCACCCAAAATATCTAGTCAATAATAGATGTGACAAAAAGGTGAGCATCATGTCAATTTATTGAAAAAAATACATTAAAAATACTATGGCTTCAACCACTGCAGAACCTCAAGACTGTATCAAGGTCAGATATTCTCCTAAAATCAGATAATTTGTCTTTTTTTTTTTTTGGACTTTTATGGCAAGATTAGTTCAGGTTGTTAAATGTCATGTTGTGCCACTACCCAAAACTTTCAATGCTATTAAAAAATATATATATTTCTAAACTTACTATGATATGTGGACTCACATGTATTCAAGGTTTAAGGAAAATGTAGTTTATACTTAATGGTTACATCACATGACATTTTTAGAATCATTAAACTGAACTGCTCTTGCAATGGTTTACGTTCAGAACTATATGAAACCAACATGAATACAGTTCATGTGTTATATGAACTTTTTGTTTTATAATCACCATATAATGTACCATTGTTTGAAGACAAAGGGCATTTTATCAGTGATATTCCACTTACGTGACTGTGCCGTTTCTCCGCTCTGCTGCAGGTGCTGCCCAGGTTTAACTCCCGTGATGAGATAGTGAAGGCGTACGTCATGAACGTCAGCTGGTCCGCCGATCATCGTGTCATAGACGGGGCCACCATGTCCCGCTTCTCCAACCTGTGGCGGTCTTACCTGGAGAACCCAGCTGCTATGGTCCTGGATCTCAAATGAAGGCTGCTCTGGAAATGAGATCTCTGCTGGAGTGTCTTTAGGTTACTTACAACTGCAAAACAGCGTTGTGGCTATCGTGTGAACACTCACGTTTCTGCTTTCACATTCAAAAAGGAAGAAAAAAAAAAGACTAATTTCTTTCCTCTAGATGCCTTAATTCAGATTGAAGACTTTTACTAACTATGCATCATAAAACACTTGCGTCATGTTAATGAGTGTTAAATGCTGCACATTTAAAAAAAAAAAAAAGAAAAAAAGTTTTGTCTTCTATGCATGCTTGGTTAGAAATGAACTGAATTTGTTTGCACAGGTTAGGCGTCTGAAATGGCCTGTAGGTTTTTCTAATGCACAGACGGAGGCTGATACTGACTGGCTCTTGGACAAGCATCTTGACTGTAACATCTCATTGTTTGCCGACTTTCTCTGAGACTTCATTCACACAAGCCTCTGTAGAGCTGACAGGCAGCCACTTCATCTAAAACCACTTGTGTGCCAATGTGACTGGATGTCAGAGTAAAGAAAGGACCATCATTTAACTGGTAAATGAACAATTGGACCACACATGGATAGACTACTATAATGTGTTGGGAATAAAGTTTTTTTTTTTTTTTTTTTTTTTTTTTGGCGAGCTACATTGCTTTTTGCGTTATAATTTTCAAAATGTCATTAAATAATGTGTAAGACATGATCGCATAAGATGAACAAATTTAATTTAGGCTTGACGCACAAGAACAAGCCTTGTTGGTTTTCTTGCTGGAGCTCAAATGAGCTTAAGTGGCAAGTGAGAACAAGTGCTTGAGCTTCTGTTTACCATATTTGATCAATATTTATATATGATTAAAAGCCTAAAAAAAGCTGTACATCATAAAAAGCGATTGTGTAGAACTTTTTGAAACAGCAACGTGTTGGTTACATGGTCTTTCAATAGAGACCGAAATCTCTTAGGATTCATTAAAACGTTTTGCATATAGGTATGAAATGACATGAGGGGGAGTAAATGACAGCATTTTAATTTTTGGGTGAAATATCCATTTAAGAATCACACATTTAGATTCAGATTTCAGAAACCAAAGAGCAGTTTTAGACTAGGCAATCTTGTAAATCTTTGTGGTTTCGAAATCTCAATCTAAATGCATGTCTAAAATGAGTTTAAATGCCACCAGAAAACATCAACAGAGAAACCTTATTTTTTATATTTTTGGTCCAAGCATTTACTTGGGACAGTAGTACATGACATAGTATGTGAGGTGTAGCTGGTGAGAGTCTTGCAGCGTAGTTGAATCTCATGAATGTCTTAAATCGATCTCGTTCACAGACAGCAAGGTCTTCAGAGGTACAAATACACTTTTCCAACTGGAATGGATTATAAAACATCATACGAGAACTACCTGGGCATAATCATTCAGAAAACCATCCTTGCCTAATGTATCTTCATGATTTACGCAACAAGTTTTTACGAACGATTCACACAGAAACTCGTTGTGCTTGTTTATCCGTCTTAAGCTTCATCTGAAAAGAAATGGAAGGTTTCGGTTCTCCCTGGAACCTCTGAAACCCTCAGGTGGTCTGGAAGTTGCTCTGGAAGACATTGACTGAAATTAAAATAAAATAAAAAACGATCAGAGACCTGGAATGCTACTCGAGTGGAATGTGACGAGAGAATAAGGTATGTGTGTTTTTAACACTCTAAAAAACAACAAAATGGAGTTTCAGGAGGATCATATGTAGGAAGTCTGCTTTAAAATGAAGGCTGAGGAAATGTTCTCGAGGAATGCTTTAGATATTTGGCTAGCTCTTAACATGAGCCTGACACTTAAAGCAAAAGGGGTTTCTTCTCTTTCTAGGTCTACAAAAGCAGCACCTCTTTAAACTAGACTCACTATAAGACACATGAAAGAAAAATGTTTTATAACAAACATAGGCATAAATTCCCATTTGGCATTTTAGATTAGGTAACTACGTCGGTGGTTTGTGTTTAAATCGACTTTGAATGGCAAAGTATTTAATAACTATAAATGTCAAATTGGTATTTTTCATTCAGAGCCACCTGAGGGTTGGTCAAAAGCATGCAGAGGTTCTGGGTAAAAGTCCAAGGTTTAAAGCAACGTTCAAGGCATCTCTCCTTCACATAAATAACAATGAAATGTACATTCAAGAAAAAAAAGTAGAAATTGCCATTTTCATGAATGAGGGTAGACCAGTCCATGTGCTACATGAATGTCTTCATACCCTCCTCATAAAAGTCTTGAAAGACAAAGTATCCAAACCGATTGACTGATCACAACTGCTGCAATGAAGTGTCCACAGTCAGGTGTTTGATTTGTATGAGCGCAGTCCAATCAAGCGGTTTGTGAGCTGACGTATCTATACACACTGTCCTTTGAATTCACTTGAAGATCCACATGTTGTATCTTCACAAAAATGATCAAGGCAGCAACGAAGGAATTGAAAACAGTACAGTAACTAAGAAGTGGCAGCTCCTGTTGTGAGCTCATATGCGTGTACGAGTCAGTGAGATGTGTGAAATGTGTGTGTGTGTGTGGTGTACTCAGGCAGCTTTGTGATGGATTGATTGGATAGCTTCTGAAGAGTCGAGGCTCACTGAGGTCTATGGTCCTTTAAAAAACACTTTATCAAGCCATTGCGGATGCAAAGGTCAGGTGTCGTCATCTGTGTCCTCTATCAGGACTTTGGTGTCTCGGACTTTCGACCTGGAAAAAAAAAGAAAAAAATAGAGAGATCCCTTGAGTTAATCAAACTTTCATAATGAGAGCATCTGTATGATGGTTCTCAGAAGCTTACAAGGAAATTTTATTCACCAAATAGGGTCCCTGATGTCCCGTTACTTTTTATTAAAAGGCACAATATTTTTTTTATATGTTCTTTAGAGAGTTTAAATTTGGAAACTACTAAATGAACTAATTTAAGTCAACAAATCAAGTCACTTCCTCAATTCAATCGCGTTTTCAAATATTTGACAATCTTTTTGTTTTCAGAAAAACAATATTTTTTTCTGTTACAGGAAACATACATTCATCAATAACTACAAACCCAAACTTAGAAATGCCTTATTTTATGCTAAAACTACAACACTGTTACTCATTTAATTCATATCATAAACAACATTTTCTGAAGGTTAAGCTGACCTGAAACCAAAAAATGTCTTTTTTTTTTTTCAAGCCCTATTTTGCACCCTCTCAATGGAAAGTGCCACAAAGTGTTGAAGTCCATGTAAAAACTGGGATTTATCTAGTGTTTTAAGGATGAAGTTGCAACGCTAATAAAAGGATAAGCTTTTTGATTTTGGTATCTTGAATCTCAGACAATGCTATAGCATCTAAACCAGTTGTTCCCAACCAGGGGGCCTCTGCAAACTTTCAAAGGGGACTCAAGATAACTAAAAATGATTTAAGATTAGGAAAAAAGCATTAAAATAAGCTAAAAATAAAAGGTATTTCTCATTTTGTTTAACTTCAAGAAGTGAAAACCCAGGTTTTAGAAAGAAAAAAAAAAGTATACACGAGGTAGCTTCATTTCAATTAATAAAATCTTTAAACTCTGTGTGCAGTTTATAATGAATATACATATAAAAGTAATGCTAAGCTCTAAAATATTTTATCAGATAGAAATTAGAGAAAAAAAATCCTTAACATTATTTATTATCCAAGAATAAAAAAATGAAAAGTCAGGCAAATTCATTGATTAAAAAGTTTGGGATCCCTGAAGAGCGTTCATTTCTTTATACTTCTGGACTCTTGAAATGTACAGTGGGGAAAATAATTATTTGATCCCCTGCTGATTATGTAAGTTCGCCCACTTACAAAGAAATGAAGGGTCTATCATTTTTATGGTAGGCTTATGCTAACGGATAGAGACAGAATATCAACCCAAAAATCCAGAAAAACACATCATATAAAGGTTGTAAATATAAAGGTTGTAAATTGATTAGCATTTGATCGAGTGAAGGAAGTATTTGATCCTCAAGAAACCAGCAAGAATTCTGCCTCCCACAGATTATGGCTCTTTTATGGTTATGTGCCCGTGGGGAACACAGATTAGTCCTGTCACTTTAAGAAAGTACTCCTAATGTCAGTGGAAACCTGTCCACAGAATCTGTATCTTCCATTCCAACCTCTCCACCAAAGAGCTGTCAAACATCAGGGACCAGATTGTAGGCCTGCACAAGGCTGGAATGGGCTACAAGACCATCAGCAAGAAGCTTGGAGAGAAGGAGACAACTGTTCGTGCGATTATTCAGAAATGGAAGAAATACTAAATGAAAAATCAATCGCCCTCAGTCTGGAGCTCCATGCAAGATCTGGCCTCATGAGGTAAGGATGATCATGAGAAAGGTGAGGGATCAGCCCAGAACTACACGGGTGGAGCTTGTTAATGATTTTAAGGCAGTTGGGACCACAGTCACCAAGCAAACCATTGGTAACACACTACGCCACAATGGATTGAAATCCTGCAGCGCCCGCAAGGTCCCCCTGCTCAAGAAGGGACATGTTTAAGCCCATCTGAAGTTTACCAATAAACATCTAATGATTCAGAGAAGGCTTGGGAGAAAGTGCTGTGGTCAGATGAGACCAAAATTGAGCTCTTTGGCATTAACTCAACTCATCGTGTTTGGAGGAAGAGAAATGCTGACAATGACTTCAAGAACACCATCCCTACAGCCAAGCAAGGAAACATCATGCTTTTGGGCTGTTTCTCTGCTAAGGGTACAGGACGACTTCACTGTATTGAGGGGCCGATGGACGGGGCCATGTACTGTACAATTTTGTACGAGAACCTCCTTCCTTCAGCCAGAACACTGAAGATGGGTCTTCCAGCATGACAATGACCCAAAACATACCACCAAGGGAACAAAGGAGTGGCTCGAGAAGAAGCACATTAAGGTCTTGGAGTGGTCTAGCCAGTTTCCAGACCTTAATCCTATAGAAAATCTGTGGAGGGAAACAAAGCTGAAACAAAGTGACAGCCAAGAAACCTTAAGGATTTTGAGAGTATCTGTAAAGAGGAGTGGACCAAAATCCCTCCTGAGATGTGTGCAAACCTGGTGACCAACTGCAAGAAACATCTTACCTCTGTGCTTAGTACATGGTTGAGAAACCTTTGTTGGTAAGGCATTTTTAGCTTGGGGATCAAATACTTATTTCACTTACTGAAATACAAATCAATTTATAACCTTTATATAATGTGTTTTTTTCTGGATTTTTTGGTTGATATGCTGACTCCATCCGTTAAAATACACCTACCATAAAAATTATAGACCCTTCATTTCTTTGTAAGAGGGACAACTTACACAATAAGTAGGGATCAAATAATTATTTTCCACACTGTAATTTACAGAAACTATGAATGTCAGGCATTTGAATATTGTTGTGGACAAAGAGAGGAGTCAAAAAGGATGAGAACCACTGATTTAAACCAATCTGACAAAATCTTTTCATGTTTAAAATTAAATTCAGCTTATTTAGATTCCTCTGACGTTTATTTATGTTCCATCTATTGCCAGTTGTTTTTGCTGTTCAAAGCTTGTTTTAATGGATTACATGTCTGGATTTGTGTCTGTGTGGTTGGTGGTCCTATGTTGCACATACTGGGAGGAGAGGCGTGGTCTTCTCAAGGACATGCTGTAGCTTCTCTTCCAGTTCTTCTTTCCTTTTCTGTTCCTCACACCATCCTCCTGGTCCATCATTTGCTCCAGCAGCGTCAGGTCATCTGCATTCAGAGGCGCTACTGAGATGTCCCGCACCGCTCTGAACTCACCACAGTTATTCAGGTGTTCGTTCTCCAGACGGAAGAAGTTCCAAACAAAGCGCCTGAAACAGATGACAGATTATGAGGATAAGTTACTTTACCATTTCCAGCTGAAAAATAATATGCCATTAATTTAAGGAGACATTCATGAGGATGCGGACCTGATGAATAAAAACAGATGAAATGGCTTCATAATTGTCATGGCTTTTGATTGGCCAATATAGCGTTCCAGTAATGCTAAAATACACAATAGCTATGTCATGAAAAACACGTTCATCAAAGAGCTCAACTATTAAAGTCCCTGTAAAGGCAATTCTAAAAAAAAATCTAAACACATTATAAATGTTAGAAATGTATTGGGCTAAAACGGTGGCTCGATGACGCACTGGAGCCACTGAGGCTGGCCCCTCCCCTAACAATAGAGCACATTCGCATCAGTTCACCTCTCAATCGCGATCTGTCAGAGTAGTACTATTACTTACTACAGCTTGCTAGTAGCTACTAGCTAGCTATGCCTTCGTCACGGAAATGCGTATTACATGGATGCGATCACTTAAAAAACAGATCGTTGTCCTTATTTCAATTTCCGAAAAACGACCATATTAAGAAGAGGTGGATTAATTTTGTGAAGAGCCACCTTGATGGAGAGCTGAGGATCACCACCAACACCTGCCTCTGTCCCGAAAGCAGTATCATCTAATATCACCGTCGGGAGCTTTCCCGCGAGTGGGCGTGGTGTCAGCGGAGCCAGCAGACATGCCCCCAGCGTTTGAGAGAAGAGAATACTGCTCATTTTTTCAAGATTTTGATAGCTTTGATTGTTTTATTTACTTGGGGGCTTTTTTATCATTCAAATTTGGCTGGGTGGCTAGTAACACATTTTTCTGTGGTGTGAAACTCAGAACACATACTTAACTTTGACTTTACAGGGACTTTAACCACAGGTTGTGGGTAGGAATAGGTTAATGAGTCACGAAACCAGGCATATGGATATATGCAGGTATGCTCACCTGAAGACCTCCAGAGGTGCGAGGATAGTGGCCAAAATATCAGAAATGTTAGGGTATGCAGTCACAATCCCAAGGGAAAGCGGAATGGTCCACGCAAAGCGCAAGATTACATCTTCTATTATGGCACAGTAATAGTAAGCCTGTTCAAAGAGAGCACACAAATTAACAAATACGAATCTGTCCACAGTGTACATGCTGTGGAGGAGTCTGTTCTCTACAAAAACATTTAAATAAGACAACTTAAGTGCCAACAGTGTGTGTGTATTCTTACTTTCTGTGGATATACTATCTCCTCTCTGAGAAGGGTGTTCTCCCCTGCGTTTTTGTCAAACAGACCCCAGTCCATCTTCAGGTCCCAGATTAAGGTGTAGCAGGAGTTAATGATCTTGCAGGCAATCATCAGATACAAGAAGACTTGACCTTCCTGAAAACCTAATGATAACAGACAGGTAGTGACATGAGAGAACATCACTGACATAAGAGAACACAGGACAGCACGTTTAGCAACATGGTGTTCCTCAAGGTTCTGTGTGTGGTCCGCTTTTAATCTCTAAAACATATCATAAACTATATTTTACCTGACAAAGAGTGCCTTTCACACTTGTTTTGAGTGGAAACATAAAATGTAATGTTGGGTAAACAAAGAATTGCAAGTAAAAAAATGTAACAGCTCAGGTGCTTACTTTCATGAGTCTTATAGAGCGCATAAAAGATGACCACGAAGAAAGTAGTGGAGTATTTGCCAGCATTGGCCAGGTGAGGGAAGGCACGCTTTGTGTCCCGGTAACGCCTCAGGCATTGCACAAACCGGAACCAGGCAGGCAAACACTGGATTACAGCTCGTACTCCATATGAATATGTGTGACAAATCCCTTCACCTGGATTGAAAACAAAAACGCATTAACATGTCATCATTAACTGCCCAATAAAAGCATTATTAAATATGCAAGGACATTAATGTGCATCTGGATACCTTTACTCAATAGCTTCCCCTTAGAATTGGTCCAGTTCAGCTCTATACTGTAGAAGCAGATCATGTACTCCAGATCCATCAGAAGCACTACTAGAGAGTTGAGTTGGTCAGCCAGCCAGAAATCTGCAAACCCAACTCTGTGAAATGGAGCTGTAACCACTCGAAACTATGTACAGAAAAGGGTGGAAAATAAAGGAAGAGAAAAGAGGATTTGAACAATTTAATCAATAATTTACTAATGGAATAATGTCTCATAAAAGTGCAACCTTGGAAATCACAACAAATGCTGTTGAGTGATATGTATTTGGATTCTCCTGGCCCTCACCAGTAATTTGAGCAGCCAGAAGCGAGATTTGTAGTAGCATGTTTTGAAAGGGTTGATAAGGAAGAAGAAGAAGAACCCATAGAGAGCTAGAGGGTTCACTAGTATAGGGATCATTGTGTCCTTCGCGAAGAGGCAGGACAGAATACTGACGCACCAAAGAACTCCAAGGAAACCAGCAATCTGCACAAAAACAGAGTGAAAAATTAATGCATATGTATAAATAGGTTGTCGTCATATTATGGCTCACCACTAGCCTGACGTCGTCATACCCCGATTCTAGTCAGAATATGAGTCTGATACTGCTCCATTGGGCTATGATTATGGGGCATGTTTCAACCGAACCAGGAAAGAAAATGCCTCTGCACTCAATTGGATAGACCTACAACTAATCAGAGCAACGGAGTAAGTGTATGTTGAATCACGTACGGTATGGACGGCAAAAACATCTTTCCAATCGGCAAATGCCTTGATCGCGGTTCTCTGTTCCTCTTTTAAAATGAATGCGCTGTTGATATCTTCTATAACAGATGCGATGGTGGAATCTACACATCTCAATTCTCCAGCGGCAGCCACCTTTGTTGTAAACTAATTCAACCCAAGCGTTCTTTGGTGACGAGGATGATTACGTTACTGTTGATCATCTGTCCATCATCGTATAAAGCCGCCCTGACAATTTGATTGGTCCGAACAGCTCTGGTTCGAGGATAGTTGCTCACAACGGATCAAGTCCAGACCAAACTTCCCGACCACAAATGTTGTGGGCGGGGTTAAGTTCAGCTGGCATCCAGGCTAGCTCACCACTCCAATGAATAATACTTCAAAAAAAAAAAAAAAAAAAAAAAAAATAGTACTTAAAAAAACCTTACATATTTATACCTCGCAACCCAAAATCTGAATCTCCCTACAAAACCAAAAACAATGAATAAGATATCCCTTCTCTGTTTCACATTTCAAAGATTTTTTGTTGTATTGCTTTTACTTTGTTACATATACTCAGGGTCTCTGCATTCTTCAAGACTTCCTCCCATTGATCGACTGTGATTTATACATTAAAGTTGCCCTAGAATGTTTTTTTTTATTATTTTATAATGTTTCCTGGGTTACCCTTATAATGTTATGATGTTTTTTAGATAAAAAATAATCATAATTTAGAAATAAATGGCATTTTTCCTAGCCTGCTTTTAGCCTCTGATTTGAACACTCTGTTTGAAGGGGCGTGTCTGCTGTGGGACTCAGTGTAACCGCGGCCACTGCTGTGATTGGCTGACATGCTTGCATATGAAATAGCTACGCATTACATGTGAAACTCTCTCCCGAATACTTTTACTACTGCTATTATACGTTTTTACTATAACAGCTATCGAGATTAACGAATCGTGAGATGTTTTTAAAGTATTTAGATCTATTCCCATCACATAAAATGTTGCCGTGATGAGCATTGAGCAGATGACAGTGTGTTGATCGCGAAAATGAAGATCTTATCATTGCAAAGCAGTTTCTGCACTCTCTCTGCTTTCACCAATGCAAACACGATGATGTAAATACAGTAAGAGCTTCGTTGTGCAGTAACGTGCGTCATTGATTTCATAACGAGTTTGGCAAGTGTCCAGATAAACTCGCGCTGTGTGGAAAGATTGTTCTTTGATCGCTTTCTGTATATAATTTGTTCACAATTTAAATACGATTATTTTCATCCTACTAAAAGAAACGATGTGAAGCTGATATTTTAGTCACTGGCTTGACTTACTGATGCATAAACAGTATTGAACGATTTTGAGAGAAAGATTACCTGTCTGAACTTGAACAATTACACATCAGAAAGTGTTGCTTGGTAGCTCGATCCGAGGCCAGCTCTGTATTGGCCCAAGTTGAGGAAACAGTTGGTGAATTGTTTGGAAATTTCCAGAGAAAATAAAATTAACCCGTTGTTTCTTCAGAGGCTCAGATGAAGGAACTAAAAAATACTTTTGTGTTCATGTGTACATCCACACTGAGCAACTGCCATGCTTCGGCTGCGCAGTTCCGCCTGGCATTGAGGGCTGGCATTATGCAAATATTTGGAGGCGTACATATTAATGATCCCGACTATTGCGTCACAGTCGGTATTGTGTGGAGAACCGACCGTTTTTCAGGGGTGTTTTTCATAAACGTGAATTAAATGAGAACGCGAAAACAGTCCAGTTTGAGATTCACTCTATGTCATGTCCATGCACTGAACTCTTGTTATTTGACTATACCAAGGTAAATTCAATTTTGAATTATAGGTCACCTTTAAGTTTTCTTTCCCATGTCTCCTTTAAATTGCACATCTGAAGAACCACAATCCTTAAGAATCTTGCAGAAGGAACTTTTAGATTATCCAGGTGTAGAAAAAGCTGCCACTCCACAGCCGATATAGTCTATTTATTGTAAATAGCAGAAGAAATCCTGCCGTGGTATGTTGTATTTGTCAACTAGTGGGTCAAATGACATTAAAATGTATCCATCAAATAATACCTGCCATGTGGTGAGGCCTTAATGTGCCCAGAATCTAAAGCCTGAGTCTACAGTCCCCAGGAGGAAGTCAGTTACCACAAATAGGAGTAAACGCTGAGGTAAGCTGAGGTCTACCCTCCAAGCGTCTATAGACTATCACAATTTGTAGTATCAAGGCATGGCAGTTACTGCAAAGCCAATTTCAAGGATTTAAATCTATTGAGAAAAAGTACATTTATTAAATGAAATTTGGGGGTAATCTCGGAAGAATATTCATCTTTAGAAGAGAGATCCGACCTAGCAAAGAAATAGCAAGAACATTCCACCTTTCTATATCCACTTGAATGCACCCAAAATGCGGGAGAAAATTTGACTTTTACATCTGTTTGAAGGAAGGGGTAAGATTTATGTCTAGTTATATCAAAACCTCAGGAAACCATCTGAAAGGAAAAAAGGGTAGTGTTTGGGCTATTTGTTTTAATCCACACAGGGATTGCCCATGATTTATTGAAATTAATTAATATATGCTGAAAAATGGCCAAATCTGTTAATCGTGTATATAAGAGCTGGGGTAGATGTTTCAGGATTCACCATTAAAATCAGAATATCGTCTGCGTACAGGGCAATCTTGTGTTGGCTATTTGCTACTGTTAACTCGCAAACGTTAGTATTTATTCTAATAGCTTCTGCTCTAAGACCGTTTGACCGCTAAAGCAAAGGAACATTGTCTTTTGTGCCTTTTGAAAAAAAAAAGTGTAAATTTTAATAAAATAACTCGAAAATGTACAATGAAGCGACTTCTGTTTTATTTTAATGCGAATTTTATTTAACCATCTCTTTCCAGTGCTGTACAAATTCATTACTTTAGAAAACTGAATACACTATAAAGACATAACCATCCTAATTAATATTGTAATTCTAAAATGTTTTATCACCACAAGTCTCCACTTGTAATTATTTCACAAAACATAAAAATAGCATTCACTGTATCACAGATTTACAAGTTACCTCAAAGAGATGTTGGTGGGACAGGTTGTTGCGGGGGTTGAGCTCGAATATTAAGACGTGGTTCACGCCAGCCTGTCTCCAGCCATATGTGTTGATACCCAACAAGAAAAGGAATTCGATGAGCAGGAAACCACCCCGATAAATTCTTACCAGGGGCCACACATTCTCCCCCTCTCCACCAAGCAGTTTTCCCACAACTACAGATGTGCAAAACATGAAATTGTTAAAATAGCAAAAGTACTGAATCCTTGAGAAAGATTCAGAGCTCATGGTTATATTTCTGTTGTTATACATCTTTGATGTGGTAAAGAAAAGAAGAATCCTTGTGAAATTTGACTTGATAAAGTAACTAAAGGCAAACTAGCATTAGAGGTTATATACCTGTGATGATGACTGTGACTGTTAAAGCGACGAAGACGCCACAGTAGAGTCCTACTCTAAAAGTGGTCCATGCTGGTGCAGGCTAAGATAAAGAGCACAGGATGGTGAGAGGTTTATGTCCTTTTAACAGTACTAATGAAAAGGTGTTCTAGTGAAGGTCACAGGGTGTTCTACCTGCGCTGCTCCCAGCGGGGGCACTCGGAGCCTCTTCATAGCTTTCTGTCGGTCTCCTCCTTCCAGCTCTGCGGTAACAAGAGCCTGGGGATTTGAGAACATGCTGTTAGGATAACTAACCACTGTGCTAGTTTGATCAGGCTGTCAAATTCAATTCCTCTTAAAGCAGAGAGAGGTGAAGTATTTTATGTTTTAAACGCTTTATGTTGAAGTGGAATGAGTAATTTGACTGTAGGGTGTACGGTACCTCGGTTTCAGAGATGAGCTGAGTGATCTTCTTACAGGTGTAAAAAGGAGCCACTTCAACATGAAGCTCACGCCAATCAGCACCTCGCATCGTCTCAAAGATCTTGTCATGCTTCTTCAAAATCTTCCGAAAACCTGTGAAGTTTAGATTCTGACAGGGAGAAACCATTACAACTTTAAATGAGACTGATTTATAAGTCAAAGAACAGCTACAAATGAATAAAAATCAGAGAAGAAACAAAAGAAGAAGAAACAATATGATGGTAACTGGATATTAATAATATGGGAATTACAAAAAAAAAAAAAACAACAACTGAGTAAATAGTTATGTGCGTAAATGAGCAGAAGGTTCCGTCTGGTCCTTTATATCAAATGTCATGACTAAATTCATTACTTGAAAATTTTCCGAACATCAGTTTGTTGTGTGCTTTCAGACCTGGTAGTTCTGCAGCAGGATAAGGCTGAGGTAGAACTCGCTGAAGGCCAGCTGCAGGTCTTTGATATTGCGATGTTTGCAGCGCTCCTGCTGCGACAGGTGGAAGACAGCGCGACGGCGGTGCAGGCCTGTGGCTCGACGGCTCTCCCGCTGTGCGTCCAGAGACGACTGCAGCTCATTCTGTAGCGTGGCGAAACGCCGCTGTGCTTCGGCAAGCTTCTCTGTGTCATAAAAGAAGGAAACATCATGTATGTAATGAAGATGGATGGATGGAACTAAGGTCAGCAAGAGAAATATTAGTCAACACAAAATTGCAAATGAACGGTATTATGTGCTACTTTCCTGGCCTGTACAGTTTATTTTAGGTTGATGTCAGCAATTCCTCCCTCCCTACCCTTCTACCACCTCATTCTGATAAGTAAATCCCACTTTTCAAGATCCAATCAGATCCTAAAGAATAAAATCAAATAACTATCCACTAGGGCCGATAAACTATCGAATCGCGATAAAATTTACGTTGATAACGAGCATCAGCATCTGCGTCTCAATATATGAGGACATGTACACATTAATTTAATCTTCAGAACTGCTTTGAGAGTCAATTCACAAGTTTTTCACGGTTTTATTTGAGAAAAAATACCGTCAATTACACACACAGAAACTGAAACCAAAACTGAAAGATCTTCACAACAAACCATCAAAATAAATACGTTGGTTTAACTTCGAGAAATTATGACAGTAATATATCACTCCTGTCTATATGCTAAAAATGTACTTCTCAAAGTAGTAATTATAAAATTATTATTTCTAAGGAATATCACACAACCAAGATATTTTTTCATCAATGTTTTAAATGTATTGCCAATGTAGTGCTGTTGAGCAGCATCTTATTTGACAAAATATAAAAGTGCAATGTTTTGTTTTAAATTAATTATAATATTTTCATTTGAGCACATTTTAAATGCTTGATTAAATAGTTAAAGTTTCTATAAACTTTTTTATGAAGTCATAAAACACAGAATCCCCCCAAAAGATAAAATGGAAAACCGAATTTAGGGGAAAATCAAATGGATTTCATGGGGCTCTGTTCTACATTTATTCTTGAGGTCTAGCAAATCTAGCAAAGTGCTACATGTACTTGCTATAATAATAAAAGTAAATTATGCAAAACAACAAGTAACCAACCCTAAACCAAAACCTAAGCTTAACCCTATCATAAGTACATGTGTTTAATCAATATTGCTCAGTGCTTATGTGTAATTTCACTGTAACATGAACAACTTCACCTTAAAACAAAGTGTAACCCAATATACAACTGGACAAGAAGAACATAAATGAGTGTGAGTGAGAGAAAGAGAAAGCAGGTGGTTATTTAATGGGATATAATAAAATAACATGGCTTAATAACCTGCTTTAATGGCAGTCCTGGCTTTGAATCAGGAGCTTTACTGTCTGTTTTCGAAAAGTTAAATCTCTGTGTTATGGGTAATCTGTCACTGTAAATACTAATGACAAAAAAATGGAAACAACAGGGAGCAGACACAAACTGCGAGTTTACATCAAACAAGTCTAGTGTTTACACATGGTTACCTGAATAGAAAGTGTTGATTTTGGCCAGCTCCTTCTCACATGTTTGGAAGAACTTCTCCTCAAACTTGGCATAGTATCTCTTGACAGTGTCTTCATCTGTGACTAAAAGCAAGAAGATAATGTGAAAATGTAATTCAGGAAAAACAAAGAAAAAGATGGGGGGGGGGGGGGGGTAGCAAGAAAGAAGAAACCTGTGGAAAACATTGTTCTGTCTCACAGCTCAAAGGCCTGAGGTTGTGCGGATATTTGAGGGAAGGAGAAAACAAGCAGAGCTCTTTCTGCAGAGTCGAACATGTTGGGCCTTTTTTGCACACTTACCAGAGAAAATATTATTCTTGTTCAGATCACAATTTCTTTGCAAGAGATCTCAAGGACAAAAGTTTGGCTCAAGCCATTACAAGCATTTAGAGAAGATTTGAATGAACCTTTTTGCAAGTTAAACCTGATTCAGGGCCTGAATTTCGTTTTGGAAAATGGGGGGGAAATCCCCCCTTAGATGATTCTCATGGGGGGGATTTTTTTTGTTTGAGGGGGAGAAGGGGGGGGGGGGGGGGGGGGGGCATTTTTTCCAAACAAAATTATTACATTTATCTTGCCTAAATGTTTGTGCTCATTGCATTTTTACAATGGGGTAATATTGTTGTTCAGAATTTACACATCACAAGGAAGCTTGATTTAAATAGTTTAATTAAATTGAAAAAAGTAGCACAAATAAATACAATAGAATAAAGATACAAATAAAGACATTTAAAGAGAAAAGTTTTTGAATAGGTCTAACACTACTTTATTCAGTATCTATATATGAATACTAATCAAATGGAAAATAACACTGGGTAGTATTTTAGTTCTGAATAAATTAAATACATAGGCTATTAATCCTGATTCCTTTAACTTAAAGCCATCTTTTGTTGTTTTGACAACAAAATTAAATGACAGACACATATGGCTGCCGTCACTTTAAGAGCTAGTGCACGGATCCTGTGTTCATTATACTGGCATGCGTTTTATGCTTATTAAAGACAAAACCGACTATATTTAGAGTTACTGGCCAGCTGTTTTTGAGGCGGATTTTCTATGAATGTGCGCATAGAAAATAATCTCTCAGAGAGCGCGCGAGCACTGATTAGTTTAAAATCGCTTGAATGTTTAAACTGGTGAGACTTAAAAAGACTTCAGTCACGATGCACTGCTGGCCCGATTGTGCAAGTGAATATTCCGTCATGTCCCGACCTTACAGTCTATGGTCCCGACTCCAAAACGCGAGTGTGTATTATCGCCGCAGCGCTTGATGCCTGCCTTGCACAACACATTATGAGAAGAGATAGAAGACGCGCGGCACCGCTGAGCACTCACGCTGTTTGTGAAATTGCGTCTGGAAGATAGTTGTTAAAAGAATGATTTGATTTTATTATCTGTGTGGATTACGATTGCGGGAATTTCCCGCATTATAAATGGGAGACCTGCGGGAATGATTAGAATTATGCGCAATACCCGCAATCCCGCGCCGAAATTCGAGCCCTGTGATTAAAATAAGGGACAAAAACAGCATGAATCAAAGTCAGTGTGTCAAATATTGGATTACACCCTTTTAAGGCTGTAAGCTACTGGGGATACTCTTTCACACCAACAAGAATCAATTCATCTTAATGTGGTAATCTTGTTGAATTCCCAGGACATAAGTTAATATTTGTGTGTTAACCATGATATATATATATATATTAGGATTCTTTGATGAATAGAAAGTTAAAAAAAGAACAGCTTTTTTTGTAATGTATAATTTTTTTTGTTACTCAGTATTTACTGTCACTGTTGATCAATTTCACGTGTTCTTGCTAAATAAAAGTATTACATTTTAATAAAAAAAAAAAAAACTTTCTGACCTCAAACTTTTGAACATCTTTTGTGTTCAAGTCTGTACAGGTTTGGAACGATATGAGTAAAATGACTGAATGTTCATTTTTGGGTAAACTAACACTTCATGGAATCCCTGTATAATTATTCTGCGTCATGTCTTTCCAAAATCCTTAGTCTGAGAACCAAGAGTCAAGGCTAATTAAGTCAATGTGGTCTTAAATCACAATAATCATAACAGTTCTTGGGTCATGGCTTCAAACATTTACAGTTTGAGGGCATGTGAAGTTTCTGTTGACTGTAAATACCTTTGACACCATAGAGACGTAACTGCATGATATTCCTCTCCGAGGGACAAAACACAGAGCGCAATGACAGTAAGTCTGGCTGATACTGTCCAGACGGACAGACAATGAATCATTATCTCAGGACTCTCAGACTTGGGAAAATGACTCATGGCTTGAAATACCTAAACTGGGAGCATTGCCTCCTAAATTGTGAATTTCACACTAGCCAAGTTTCCATCCAGTTTTATCATCGACAAAGTGAATATGCATTACAAAAAAAAAGGTTTACCAAATTTACTGTCTCCAGCCGGTTTTCATCCAATTGGCCATTTCATACCAATAAAATGGAGTGAGCAATGACATCATTCTTAAGAAAAATTGCATTGTCACATTGTGCATTTTCAGAAACGAAACTTAGGAATTTCGCACGGTTCCAGTATTTAAAAAACATTACCAGTTCTGGCTAAGAACCAATTCTCGGTTTCAAACCCTATGTGTATATCGGGATCGCGCGCTGTCTGAGGCGTCTTCCGATCTGTCAGTCAGCGCGAGGAAGACTGTTTTGTTTACATCAGCATGAGTTTGAAAATCACATTTCATTGGTTCAGACTAATGCCATTGAGAATTCCCTATAAATATATACAAAGCTGGAATACTGCGCTTTAAAACAATGCCAAACTTGTGCTGAAAGGAAGCGCCAGTCGTCAAGAGGCGAGCAGAGAAAAACAGCAATTTTCATGGACAAAGGAAAGGTACTCCTCTCAGAGAACACACAAATAACGATACTTTTAGACGTTTAATTGCTATTTGGAGCATTGGTATCACTAGACGAGGGCTTAATGAACTCATTTTTGTGAAAACCTCAAATTCGACCAAAATTGACATTTTTGACTTATGCCTGTAGCCCGAAATTAGCCTGTGCGCTAATTATCAAAATTATTCAACCCTACTGCATTATTCATTCATTCATTCATTCACAGCATTTGAAGTATCGACATAGAAGTTAAACGGGAAAAGATTGTTTCGACATTTGCAAAATTGTATCAATAATTATAATTTCCATCAAATACATCGGTAAACATTTTGATGTACTCAAGCTTTATCGCAAAAAAAAAACCTTGGATGGAAACCTGGCTACTGGCGTACAGATACATTTTAAGTGTAACTCTTAAAACAAGCAGGCCAACGGCGAGAAAACCGTTACATGAGTGGGCTCACAATGTGTGTAGAATCCACAATGAGAGGTGAGGAGGGAGAGGGAGGTTTACTTTACACACAATATTACTCATGTTTCATCTGTCAAAGCTCAAGTACTGTGGCAGGTGTGTTTGAAAAACACCATCATCTGACAAAACTAAAACAATGTGACTCCCAGGTGTGATTCTTGAAACACTACACTCACAAAACAGCCCATAATCCTACACTTCCAAAACAAACACTGTTTGACTGACAGGGGTTTATTAGGCTTTGTTCATAAATTAGCTACACTGTTTTTTAAATGACTCATTGATGTGCAAGTTCTATTAGGTAGATAAGATTTATAAGGAACTGCTTCCCTGATCAAAGTACTAAACCATACTAAACCAACCGTACTAAGCGCGGTCACACGTGTTAAAACATTTATCTGAGCAAGCAGTTTTCTTATCACATGACACTTATCAGTTACTATAAAACCCTCAAGTAAACATGTAAGAATTCTTTTGGGTTATGATGGCCATATGAGGTTTAGCGAGTTCAACATTTTGAAGTGAAAGGGTTAAGAAGATTCTGGGTTATTCTCACAACAAACTGTTTAATACTGGATTACTCCAGCTCTACAGCAGGGAGTCCCTCTCTGTACTGGTTTAGGTAACCCTCCCCAGTGAGACCTTCAGCTGGGTCATTGTGTCTGGCCTGCTATGCAAACACACGGCTCAGTTTCATATCAGCTCGGCAGGGATTAACATACACAGCTCTCTCTTTTAGCTGGAGCTCCTGAGAGAGAAAATAAACTACAGTGTCTCTGTACTTGAGAACTTTTGAACTGAAATCTTCCAGGGAATGCATGACCTTGGAAAAGGAACCTCTGTGATTATGTAGACCTATAACACACAACAGTTATGAACTTTTGGCTAGTGATAGATCAATATATCTGCCAAATGGCCATTTTTACATTGCTGGGCAATAACATCTGCAAAAAGGCACGGAAAAACCCTGATTCTTTCATCATTCCAGGTCTGTGATTAAACTCACAAAAAAATAGCTAAAACTAGGGCTGCCACATCTAATCAATAAAAATGACAATACAAATCATTGACAACTAATGTCACTATTGATTAGTTGGGTGTATGAGCTGTGCATTCTTCAATTACATAACTTTACAGTAATGAAAAAAGTATTTCTACAAACAAACTAAAAAACACAGGTGGAGAACAACATTGACAGGATTGACAAATTTGACAATAATATCTTTGTTAAAATGTTACATTTACATTAACATTTTGGCTTAAATTACCATATTTATTTGAAATTCTACTTGTAATGCAAGTACTGATATTTTTTTGTGAGAACAGTAACTAATGGGATTTTGCAATGTACTTGTGTACTAGGATGAAATCTCCATTAAGAAATCTAGAGACCATGATCTCACTCTGAACACTGAAGTACTGACAAATAAAGATGGGCATAATCGCTCGCGTAACTGTACGCAAAACACTTAAAATTAGAGGTTTATGACTTCAAACACCTGCACTATCAGCCCTTTCTCATATCCGTCATCAAAAAAAAAATCAGCATCTTATTAACGAAAAACCCTGGTCATGCAATTTCCTGTCCAAAATCATAGCTTTACTTAAACAATCCCATTAACTACACTTATCACCACCCAAGAAAAACCACAAACTTTGACAGAAGATTATAGTTATTTCTAGATAATCACAACTACCATCATCCCACAGCTTAGAAAAACACCCAGTATGCAGGTTT